GTGGACTAAGGGAGGCTTCCTAATCAGCCCCTGACTTGGGGAAGTGCCCCAAGTGCTTGTATTGGGTCTAGTACCCATTGGACGATCAGGCCTGTGTTTTCCAAGGTGCACAGAGCCAGAAGTGAGTCCAGAGCCTTGGCTGGTGGCAGCGGGAACCCCAGGCTAGCGGGTGTGCTCCAGGGAAGGGGTCGGCCGGACGGGAGGCACCCCAGGGAGGCACTCGGAGCCCGGAAGGTGGTCGGGCGCAGGGAGGTGGGCGGCTCAACGCAGGAGCGCCCCCTACTGGCCCGCCACAGTGTGCAGCAGGGAGTTCAGGGTCACCATGACACAAGAGGTCCCTACCATCTTGAGGCACAGGGCACGTGTCACTACAGCAGCATAGGACAGTGGATTGCAGATGGCCATGTAGCGGTCGGAGGCCATGATGGCCAGCAGGTAGCCCTCCACGTTGCCTGTGCAAAGGAAGAGGAACACCTGAGCCATGCATCTAGAGTAGGAAATGACTTGATTCTGTGTTAGGCTATGCACCAAAGCCTGGGGTATAGTGATGGATACAAAGCTCACATTCACCACAGCCAAGTGGCTGAGGAGGAAGTACATGGGGCTGTGCAGCTGGCTATCAATCCACCATGCACCCAGCAGGAGGGCGTTGCTCATCACATTCACCAAGTAGGTGAACACGGCTCTGACACGCCGAGGAGGATGAATTCAGAGACAGAGGGGAAGGAGAAGGGAGTCAGTGATTGTGGAGAATGCAGACTTTTTGTCACGTTATAAACAGCAAACTCAGCTCTTGGCACACTCCTGTGTGTGTTGCTGCCCTGCTGTTGTAAATAGAGACATTGCTCATCAGAGAAAGAGGAACATGGATACATTTTCCCATGAGAAGAAGTAAGAAAGGGTCATCAAGCATTGTACACATGAACAGGGCAAACTGGAGAGACCACAGCTGCTTACACAGGTGGGAAGAGTGGAATGGTTGATCAGGGAGATGAGAGCTCTTCTAACCCCTCTGCAAGCAGCAGAGAGCTTGGAGACAGAAACTACAGTGTGGACACAGGTTTATAATACTGGGAACAGACACATGGAGGGCCAGAAGAATTGCAGAATGATGTGGAAAGCTGGGCAGTCACTCCTGTGTCTATGGACCCTGTCTTTGGCTGTCTGGCATGCTACCCCAAGGCTCAGCATCCTGTACCCCTGGTGGACTAAGGCAGGGTGGCCAGTTTCGGAAAGACTGCCTACATTGCTGGCATTGCTACCCTTTGAGGCAGCAATGCCAGCAATGCTGAACAAGGAGTTGAGCAGATTTGAAGTTTTTACTGGGTCTATGAGTCTGCTGTAACCCTCAAACCTGCTCCCAGAGCCAGAAGAGCTGTGTGGCTTCCTCTTACGAGGACACTATCCCTTTCTATTGACTTTAAGGGGTACCTGGAGAGAGACCAAATGAATCTCATTGTCCCCTCTGGACCTTTCCTGAAGAATCTCCTTGGGCTCCATATTGTTGCCCCTCTTGTTCAATATGCATCAGAGGCTGCGGGGCAAGATTGTGCAGATAGGTGAAGTGAGGTGCCATCAGTATGCCAGTGACACCCAACCCTACCTCTTCTTCTCTTCTGACCCTGGCCCCGCGGTCTGTGTCCTTTCCCAGTGTCCAGGTGAAGCTGGGGACTGGATACAGGTGAATCATGAGCATCGCAAGCAGGTCCAAGGAGGTGATCCTCCCCCTCTATGCAACACTGGTCAGGCCACAGCTGGAGTACTGCGTCCAGTTCTGGGCGCTGCACTTCAGGAGGGATGTGGACAGCATCGAGAGGGTCCAGAGGAGGGCCATTTGCATTATCAGGGGGCAGCAGGGCAGCTACGGGACCTTAACCTGTTCAGCCTTTGCAAGAGAAGGCTGAGAGTGGATCTAGTGGCTGTCTATAAACTTACCAGGGGGGACCAGCAGGGAACAGGGGAGTCCCGGTTCCCCAAGCACTACTGGGAGTAACAAGGAATAATGGCCATAAGTTGATGGACAGTAAATTCAGGCTAAACATCAGGGGCTGATACTTCACAGTCAGGGCGGCTAGGAGCTGGAACCAACTTCCAAGGGAAGTGGTGCTCACTCCTACCCTGGGGGTCTTCAAAAGGAGGCTAGATGATCACCTTGCTGGGGTTGTTTGACCCCAGCATCCTTTCCTGCCCATGGCAGGGGGTCGGACTTGATGATCTGCTCAGGTCCCTTCCAACCCTACCAACTATGAAACTATGAAACTATGAATAATCAACTGAAAATGAATTGAGACAAGACAGAGGTGATGGTGGGAGGCAGACCACATGACTTGTGGGGCATGGGGACACCAAATCATCAATGGCATTCAGCCTCAGGTTTGCAGCCTGGGAGTACTTATGGATCCTTTGCTGCTCCTGGATCTTAAGGTGGCAGCTGTGGCTAGGACTGTCTAGTTCCATCTGGTGACAGATCTGTGACCCTTTCTCTCAGACTGCTCTGGCCACCACCATTCAGGTCTTTAACCTCAAGGATAGACTATTGCAGTGCACTCTACGTGCAAGCATCCACAAGCTGCAGCTGATGCAGAACACAGCGGCCTGCCTCCTGATGGGGTTGGGTCGCCAGGAGCATATCAATCCAGTGCTCCGGAGTCTGCACTGGGTCTCAGTAGCTGTCTGGGTGCAATTCAAAGTGTTGCTTTTGACTTAAGAGTCTCTAAGTGATCTGGGCCCTACATACCTCAGGAGTCTCCTGCAAGAACCATCAGTGTGCCAAGTCCACTTTGTAAACCTTCATGGGAAGTCATTCTCTGCAGTTATTCCTCACCTCTGAACTCTGTTCCTTTTGAGGCTTGCAGAGCCCAAGCCTGGTTATCTCTTGGAAGCAGTGCAAGGCCTTCCTATTTGGGCAGGCATTTTCCAAACAAAACTAGTCGGAGGTGGTGTCTAAGGGGTCTCTGTTTTATCCTGCTGTTCCAGTTTCATTTTAAATTGCTTCAGTCCTGTTGTCACTCTCCTGTTTCCTGGTTCATGCAGAGATGCCTGGGAATGAGAGACAAGACTATTCCACTCTGAGATTGACTCACCTCAGTGTGGCTAAATCAGCTAGTTCAGAGGGAAGAGAGCAGGATATGGGGCCTTTCCCAGGATATGGGGCCTTTCCCTGCTAGGGAACATCACTCCAGGTAAAGGAGAAATGAGACGATTTAAGGAAAGGGATAATGTGTACCACCCCATCATTTCCGCACTCTCTCATGTACCCAGTTGTTCATCTCTCCACTGACCTGATGTTTTAGAGAGCTGCCTACAGTGACTCCAAGGTCTCTTTCCTGAGCTGTAAAAGCTAGTTCAGAACTCAGCATTGTGCATGTATAGCTTGAGGTTTTTTCCCCCGTCTGCACTACCTCATACTTGGCAATACTGAAGTTCATCTGTCACTTTTCCCCCCACTCATTTCACCTAGTGAGATCTTTCTACAAATGATCTTATAAAACACAACAGATATTTTTTTTGCAGGAACAGTGGGTGAAAATGATATCTTTTTAGGTAATTTTGTGAAAATTAATGGCATTTTCCAACCAGCTCCAGTCCTCTGATTCCACCACCTCTCTGGGTAACCTGTTCCAATGTTTTACTACCTTACTAGTGGGATTTTTTTTCCTAATATGTATCCTCAACTTCCCTTGCTGCAACTTGAGCCCATTGCTCCTTGTTCTGTCATCTGCCACCACTGAGAACAGTCCAGCTCCAGCCAGTTTGCAACCCCCTGGAGGGAGTTCAAGGCTGCTATTCAACCCCCATCAGTCTTCTCTTCTCTTCTCTAGACTAAATAAGCCCAGTTCCCTCTGTGGCAGAAATGCCACCGTCTGGTCCCTCTCCAGAGAGCTGTCTCTGCCAGAGTGAGAGGCTGGTGTTGAATCCCTCAGGGAGGGGGATCACAAAAGCCTGGTTCCTGGGAGGCGGATGCTCTGGTCACTTGGGGAGGGGAGGGAAAAGCCCTGCTCACCGGCCCAGGTAGCCAGTGATGCTTTTTAAATTGGTTGGCTTGTGGCCAGCACTGGCAGCTTCGATTGGACCGGGCTGCTGAGGTCAGGAAGGTTATTTAAAGGCCCGGTCCAGGAAGAAGGCAGCCATTAGCTATGCGGTCATCCAGGTGAATCTGAAACTGGGAGAGGAGCTTCACCATCTGAAACAGGCTCTTTCCTCATCACCGCATGCTCAAAGAGTGCCCTGCCTCCAGAGGAAACTCCAACCACCTCTGAATGATGCGAGTGAGTAAGCTACTCGAGATCCGACTAGATATTTAGCTTCAGTAACTCAGGTGCAAGATCAAAAGGCTATCTCAGCCATACTGGTTTGCTCTATGGGATTCCTCTGATATTCCTCTGATACTGCTCTACCTTTTACCCTGTTTCCACCCTACCCCTGTCATCAATAAAGTTCTCCTTTGTGACCGGTGGGGAGACTTATTGAGGGGTGGGTCTAAATTATGCCGAGGAGGCCCCTTAGGTCTGTGGACTAAGGGAGGCTTCCCTAATAAGCCCCTGACTTGGGGAAGTGCCCCAAGTGCTTGTATTGGGTCTAGTACCCATTGGACGATCACTCGGAGCCTGGAAGGTGGTCGGCGCAGGGAGGTGGGCGGCTCAACGCAGGAGCGCCCCCTACTGGCCTGCCACACCCTCAGCCTCTCCTCAATAA